TTACGAACAAATGGGCATCGGTGAGACATATCTCAATTATTTACATTTACAATTTCCTTCTAAGCAAGTTTCGGAAACAGTACTACTATGATTGCGAATGCTTGATGATATTGATTTCTTTTTACGAAGTTTTGGTGTTGTTTTATTTTTTGTCTCTCCCTCTTTACCAGTAGTTCGTCTTAACATAGCTGTAAGCAATGATATCGAAGAGCCCGAGTTTGATGGCTTGTTAACATTATTAATTGGGGATTTGTGGTATTGTGAACTATTCGAAGCAAGTAATGCTGGTGAAGAATTAGGTGATCCATAATTATTTGTGACTGCATGAACTTCCTGTAATCCTTGAAGATTTTCAATACTTGTGTTGCTTCCGGTTTTCTTGACACTTTCTCTCATCGCCGAAAGCCATTGTGAAGATGATCTTTCTTCTGAATTTTGTGATTGATTCGAAAATATTTCCTTCAAACGATCAGAAGCAGAACTATCTCCAGAAGAACCGAGAACACTTTGAACAGTAGATAATGTTGTTCCGTCAACTGGACTTAACGTTAACGCACTACTATCCAAATCTTGATGTTTATCGGACAACACTGTATCAAACGATAAAATAACAACGCTGGGATGAGTTCTCCGTTTTTGTAAGGAAAGTCGTCTTGTTTCAAACTGAAAGGAACCATGGTTATGTTTTTGTCTAGTATTTAACCTTAACTTGTGAAGTGTTGGATGTTTAATACTTGCAGATTGATCTGTCAATCGTTCTTCCTCTGGTAAAAGATTTTCCATCTTATTTAATGTTTGAAAAATTTCATGTACCATCTTATGAGTTTTTTCCACTTGTTTCATAAATACGTTAACTAAAATCAATTATATCAATCAGCTAACTTTCAAAAGGAAATTGTAAATGTAAATAATTGAGATATGTCTCACCGATGCCCATTTGTTCGTAATTAGCTTTTGCTTGTAATTGTGAGGCGATCATTGTTTGATTTATTTCCACACAATATGTATCCACTGATTTGACTGTTTCCATAACTATTCGCTAAATCATAATCAAATAAAAAAATAATGTATTAAGGCAACCTTTAAAATTGCAAACGAAAATGGTGAATATGTATATTAACTTACCTGATCTTCGCATATTTCTTCAACACATTTTTTTATACGCGATTGATATGTTAAAGTAAAATTAAATATAGAATCATATCCAAATGAAGCTAACAATAAAAAAAAAAAATCAAAAATCAAAAAATGAATTATATGAAATAAGAAGTTAATAAAATTCCCTATAGACGTACGTTCTCTAACTTGGTCCGAAGATGCTGATGCTGAACCCCATAAACCACTAAGCGTGAAACCTGTCTCGGGATGAGGTTTAATCAAAGGTTCAAACTATAATTTGTCAATTATCTCTTAATAGAGACTCGTAAAGTAAATATTACTTAATATCTCTGGAAATATTTATTACCCTTGGAATTTTATCCAATTTTGAAATTTCTAGATCCGAATCGTCTTTTACATTAACATTATTAACTGTAATGACACCCTAATGGAATTGAATGAGAATTATTTTTCAAATGTTTAATGGTAATTCATAAGTAAATTGAAATGCATACATTCTCAATATCTCGTATTATTTTTGTACGATCTGTCTCTTTCCCATTTTTATCATTTTCATTTGTAATCAAATTTTCTTGAGCTCTTAATTGGCATGACGCATTATTTTCCAACGTTTTTCGATCATTTAATTCATTTTTTTGAATTTCACTCATTTTTTAACTTATTGAAGTAATTTATAATTCGATTATAAAAGAAGGTCTTCCGTGTTACATGAATTTTAAAACAAGGTATTTTTAGTTAATTAGTTCCGATTGAAATACTATCTAAAAATAATAATAATTTTCTATTATTTTTTATTATTATTATCTTATTTTCTAAAAAGTAATGTATAATATTTTAGTTGCTGTAATAATGTTAATTTTCTAATTATTTTTGTTAAAATTATATTATAAAGATATAAATATATAAACTAAATAATTTTGATTGTGAATTTTATTTATGATTTTTTATTAAAAAAAAATACAAATATATTATAGTATAAAAAAATCTTTTTTATTACTACTTAAATTGTTTAGTGACAAATATATTTATAAACTTAAAAAAAGTATTAATTTCTAAAATATTAATTTAAGTAATATATTATTAAATAAAACGATAGTATAACATATATTTTATCAACTTAATCAGTAAATATTTTAAGTTTATTAATTTTAAAAACAAGTTTTAATATAAATATGTAACTTTAGATTTTTATTATATATGATAATGATGGAATTCCTTG